GCATGCTACATTGGGTATTCATCATATTGTCAGTGTTAAATGATTTATTGGTCTAGAATATACGACATGAACATTATACAAAGATTCTTTTTATTTAACACTTAATTGTGAATGTGTTTGATACCTGTCTGATCCTGTAAGTTTGAAAAAATGCTCAATATACCAGTGGGAAGTAGAAAATATCGTTTCATGGGTGGAAACAGAGGAAATTCAGATTAAAAGACGATTGTTTTTTTCTACATATCTTTACAGATTTATTGATTAGTTTTATTTCTTTTTTGTTGTCTGGGGGAATTATAGCTTGTATTAACGCTGAAATATTTGGTATTTACCTTCCCAAAACATGAATCTGCAAAAATAATGGATAAAGTAGGGAAAAAATTAGTGCGCCCGAGCGGGCAGAAGCGGAGTAAAACTTGTACGTCCGCTAACGATTTAGTACGTCTCGGGCGTGCGGGCGGACGGGAATTTCGTACACTGGCCTTTGGTATAAATGTATAGAGAAAGCCTTTCATCTCATTAGAATAATTGGTTAGAATCTTGGACAACAACCAGTGCGGTTCTTAACATGATGCTTTCTGTCCTTGAAAAATCGGAAAAACATTTTAATTTTATTTTCATAAAATTTCTCTAAAATTTAAACAGTTGAGTCTTTCTGTCCTTGAATGGTCATTGACTGATAGGATATTTTCATTATTAAAATTTATGTCAACATTATGATTCTATTTTTCTAAAATTTCAAAAAATAAGTATTGGAATCTTTCTGTCCTTGAATAGTCATTGACTTATAAGACATTGCCATTATTAAAAATATATAAGAAAACATTTTAAATTTTATTTTTCACAAAATTTCTAAAATTTCTTCTGAAAAGCATCAGAATCTAAAGGTCTGACATTGGTACATAGCTTAAAAAGGATGGATTATTACAGAAATTCTACTAATGAAATGGTTATTTGTCCGTATGACAAAACACATGTCATAAGGAAAGAAAGGCTGTCCGGGCACTTAATTAAATGTGCTAGAAATAATAAAACTGTGACCAGAAACTTTTCCTCCTGCGAGTTTAACCATAGTCACAAAATTAAAAGGGGTGATGGTAGTGACCATTACAAATACTGTGAGGACAAACGGCGGTTTGATGGTTGGTTGGAGAGGGATTTAACCTGTTCTAAAAAAGGCAACACCTCCCTTCCTAAATATGAGGATGTCAATATTAGTAATGATGATAATTGGGATGAGGAACTGGAACCCTTTTACAGTAAAAACTTTTTGGGACTAGTTTCAGATATTAAAAAAAACTTTGAAAACGTTTGTATGAAAAAGGGGAACACTTCTCTCCCAACTTATAATGAAGTTGAAATATCCTCCGGGGAAAACTGGGATGAGGAGTTAATGTTCTGACTTTGATTTTTTTTATTTTGTGTGAGAAAGTAAAGTGGTCAATCACTTTCAGAATTAAAAAAATAATGAATATGTTGAATTTGGATATATTTTCCATCTCGGTAAATATATAGTAATATGCAAATTATATATAATTTAATATAAAATATATACCATTTATTATTTTGTTTGATTTTTTAAGGTGAATAGAGTTGTCTGTTCTTGAATATTTCTCAGAGTTATCATTCTTTGCATAGTATTCCATAGTTTAAAAAAAATATGTAAAATACGCTGTCAAATGCAATATATTTTTGATTTATTCTATGCGCTGGAGTTATCTGATCTTGGAAATTTGCTAAGAATTATCTTTGTAAGTAATGTGTAATCTTCATTCATAAATATAAAATAAATTGAAAGTCTCCTATAAGCCTTTGGTATAATATATAGATATGGGTGGAGACTACCATGAGCCTTTCGTATAACTATATAGATAATCCTTCAGAGAGGCTGGAGTCTCCTATAAGCCTTTGGTATAAATATATAGAGAAAGCCTTTAAGTGGGTGGAGAGTATTGTAAGCCTTTGGTATATATGTATAGAGAAAGCCTTTCATCTCATTAGAATAATTGATAAGACGTTGGTATACGTATGTATTAGTGAGTGGATACTACCATGAGCCTTTGGTATACCTAGATGTAAGACCAGGATAAGCCTTCCGAAAGGGTGGAGTCTCCTATAAACCTTTGGTATAAATACATAGAGAAAGCCTTCTGAGTGGGTGGAGAATATTGTGAGCCTTTTGTATAAATATATAAAGAAAGCAGTAAGCCTTCCAAGTGGGTGGAGTCTCCATAAGCCTTTGGTATAAATATATAGAGAAAGCTCGGAAGGCTTATTCTATATATACCAAAGACTTACGGAGACTATCCGCCCACTCGGAAGGCTTACTTTATATATTATACCAAAGGCTCTCAGTAGTGTCCGCCCACTCAGAAGGCTTTCGTATAACTATATAGAGTAAGCCTTCAGAGAGGGCGGAGTCTCCTATAAGCTTTTGATGTAAATACATAGAGTAAGCCTTCCGAGTGGGTGGAGTCTCCATAAGCCTTTGGTACAAATATATAGAGAAAGCCTTTTATCTTATTAGCATAATTGGTAAGACTATATAGTTAAGTGGGCGGATCTTACTATCAATTATAAAGTGTGTTGTAGAGCACCATATATACCACTACTGACATTTAGATATATCGACGACGTATTGTCAATTAATAATGATAATTTCCATTCCTACGTCGACACGATATATCCTGGTGAGCTTGAGATAAAAGATACCACAGAGTCCGACACTTCTGCTTCATACTTGGATATTTTACTTGAAAAAGACACTAATGGTAATCTAACAACCAAGCTATATGATTAACGTGATGACTTTAACTTTTCTATCGTCAACTTCCCTTACTTATGCAGCAATATACCTTCATCACCTGCATACGGATTATTTATATCTCAGTTGATTCGATACGCAAGAGCATGCTCTACGTATGAACAATTTCTTAAACGAGGTAAATTATTGACAAGCAAGTTGATGAAACAAGAATATCAACAGTCTCGTTTAAGTCATCATTTCGTAAATTCTATGGTCGATACAATGACCTTGTCAGCAAATACAATTTATCATTGAATGAAATGCTGACTGATGTTTTTCATACCAATTGTTAGTCCATTATTTATATACTGAATTGACCACGGATTTTTTCCGTTATTTCCTGATTATGACAACGAGCACACGGCGGGTGTGACCGGTCGGCAGGGGATGCTCACACCTCCATGGCACCTGAGCCCACCTCTGATGTTTCGGAGGTCCGTGTTTGCTCTGCTCTTAATTTGTATATTTGTTTAATGGACGTTGAGATTGAATATTGTTCGTTATTTCCATATCCTTCTTTTAAGAATATCAGACGTTGAACATCTATTTCTTCAATATATGATTGATTTAATACCACGTTATGGGAAGTAGATGCTTGGGAACTACCCAAACTACCAGTGTATTGTTTTGCATTATACAGTATTCATTCGTGTTTACTTTTTAATAACTACTCACAGTTTGCGATATGATAATGCGTGCAAACTTATCCTCAGGAAAATTATAACCTAGTGCATCAACAAGCAAGTCACTGGATTCAGAGGGCAGTATGACTGTTGGCTAAAGTCTGGTGCACTGGAGTGCTGCAAAATCGTCAAGCTGTACGATTTTCTATCCTGTCACAAAATACTAGTACCACCTTGACCAGGAGCGGCCATTTTAGTTTTTCAAATGTTCTATAACTGCAATATAGAACACTTTGTGTTTCGTGCGAGTGTTTCTTATGCAAATCAGCGTCATCTTTCATGGGTTACATGTACAAACTGCTTTTTTATGCGCCCGGATCGATAGATACTTCTCACTAAAATATTGACAGAAGTGAAGAAAAACCTTCAAGAGTACTGTACAACTATATATTCAAGAAGTGGTGTAAATCAGATGTGGATACTTAAAAATTCTAAACTTTTGACAATTTGAAATCACAAATCTTTACAAAAATGAACAGCTCAAAAACTTACGACATTTCAACTTTATACACAACAATTCCCCACGACAAATTAAAATCCACGCTAATTGATATTATTGACAGCTGCTTCTTAAAAAATGGATTTACCTCGTCATTGGTCATTTGAAAAATTATTTTGTTAAAACATATTTTGATTTCACATATAAGTACTCTGAAGTTGAAATCAAGAAGATGCTTGAGTTTTTGATTGACAATATCTATGTGGTTTTTGGAGACAAGATATTCCAACAATCTTGGAATTCCCATGGGTACAAATTGCACTCCGTTATTAGCAGACTTATTTTTATATTCATATGAAGCAGAATTTATGCAAAATCTTATGCGTGAAAAGAAGAAAACACTTTATGTGGCCTTCAGCTCGACATTAGGATATATCGACGACGTATTGTCAATTAATAATGATAATTTCCATTCCTACGTCGACAAGATATATCATGGTGAAGTTGAGATAAAAGATACCACAGAGTCCGACACTTCTGCTTCATACTCAGTGTACGAAATTCCCGTCCGCCCGCACGCCCGAGACGTACTAAATCGTTAGCGGACGTACAAGTTTTACTCCGCTTCTGCCCGCTCGGGCGCACTAATTTTTTCCCTACTTTATCCATTATTTTTGCAGATTCATGTTTTGGGAAGGTAAATACCAAATATTTCAGCGTTAATACAAGCTATAATTCCCCCAGACAACAAAAAAGAAATAAAACTAATCAATAAATCTGTAAAGATATGTAGAAAAAAACAATCGTCTTTTAATCTGAATTTCCTCTGTTTCCACCCATGAAACGATATTTTCTACTTCCCACTGGTATATTGAGCATTTTTTCAAACTTACAGGATCAGACAGGTATCAAACACATTCACAATTAAGTGTTAAATAAAAAGAATCTTTGTATAATGTTCATGTCGTATATTCTAGACCAATAAATCATTTAACACTGACAATATGATGAATACCCAATGTAGCATGCTGAGTTTTTATTCATTGTTTGTTTCAAGTAATTTTTATTTTTTGATTAAATCAAGGATAAACTTAGGCAAACTTAAATAATGTAACAATATTATCACCTTTTAATAATTTTATGTACTGATCAATAATTAAATAGAAATAATTATATATTCAAATGTTAAGTGTTAAAAATTGCTCTTAAGTTCTAAAATTTAAGTCAATATTTTTTCTTTTCAATTAAATCAAGCTGACTACTTTCACCAAAAATGTGTGTAAATGTATATATACCTATAAACTTTGACATTATTAAATATTTAATCATCATGGTCATTAATGTAAAACAAAATGGAAGAAAAAACGATTAGATTTGAAAAAAAAATGTACAAGTTTGAGCGTGTGTACTCTAGCTGAAGTTTATATTGAATTTTATTACGCGGGCTTGCTAGTTTTTAGCAGGGCTGACAGACTTTTTGAGTAGTCAGCCCTCCTGGTCCACCTGAATTTTTTCCGAGTTTTGTACACTGTTCATACTTGGATATTCTACTTGGAAAAGACACTAATGGTAATCTAACAAGCTAGCTATATGATAAACATGATGACTTTTCTATCGTCTACTCCCCTAAATTTGCTGCAATATACCTTCATCACCTGCATGCGGAGTATATATATCCCAGTTGAATCGATACGCAAGAGCATTATCTATGTATGAACATTTTCTTAAACGAGGTAAATTATTTACAAGCAAGTTGATGAAAAAGAGCATCAACGGTCTCGTTTAAAGTCATCATTTCGTAAAATCTATGGTCGATACAATGACCTTGTCAGCAAATGAAAATGAATAGAAAAGCTGATCACGGATGGAAACCAAGGAATAGCGCAAAAAAGTGAAGGAACAGAAAAGGAGCTAACATGAGCCGTAAAAGAAAAGAGCCATAAATGCTAAAGGAAGAGAAGCTTATAAGGGAAAAAACGGGGGGAAATCATCGGTATCCCCTTCACCTTCATCAACAACGGAGTTTGAGATACAGTCAGGAAAAACAAAGCAAGCACATCTAGAGTGGCCAAAGAATGAGTGCACTTAAGTATGTCATTTGGAACCTTTTCGGCTACCCATTTTAAGCTTAACATTACAATATATTACTAAATTAATCTATGATTAATGTGCAAGCATATGCTTTTGATATTTATTTCTAGAATTTTTTGTCATACATATCTCTATAATTACAGAAAATGTAATTGAAAAGAACATGTAAAAGCCTTAAATTCCGGAATTTGAACGGGACCACTTTCGAATCTAAAGTATCCGCAAATAGGCGGAGATATTTAAACCGCATGGTTGTGGAATGTAAACATTATAACATATGATTTTTTCGCATTGTGAATTGAAATGGAGAAGAGAGAGACATCGTGTTGATTTGTTGATTTCATAGTGCACAATTATTAAATGATTCTAATGTTTAGGGATTG